TATTTGGCAGTGTTTTCTTTCTCCCGTCACGTAAACCCAGTTAAGCAAGTTACTCAGTCCCTTCTATCTCTTGGGTTTTTGATGTGTTTGCTGAGAAAGAGGGGAGGGGTGACGGGGTGAAGGTGGGGGGGTGGGAAAGAGAAAGGGAAAGGCAATGGGAATGGGAATGGGAATGGGGATATGGGGATATGGGGGAATAAAACAAAAAGACATACAACAGCGGGCATTCGCTGGTGGTCACCCCACCTAACTACTAATCCGCCGATCTGAGATTTGCGTACGGCCGAGCGGGCGGGATGCCCAATTCCACTCGTATGTGATATCTTGGGACATTGGGTCGTGTTATGTTTTTTGCTAGGGTAGATCGCTGGGTTTGGGGGAAGGGGGGGAGGGGAGGGGGGGATTGGGAAGTGAGAGTGTTGTTTGATTGATGATTGAATGATTGAATGATTGATTGATTGATTGATTGATTGATTGTTGATGTATGAACTTCAAGTACGAAACTACCACAAGGAACTCAAGGAAGGGACTACAGAGCCAATGGCTTACAGCATTGCAGCATGAAGAAGGCTAAATGAAAGCCTTTCTCTGTCTTGGGTCTGTAACTTTAGCAGAAGCGTGGTTTCGTACGGGAGAGGAGAGAAGAGAGAGAGAGAGAGCGGAGGGACTCAGCTAAGCAAGAGAGGTTAAGTTGGAATTAGCAAGTGCGTTTTTCTTTTCAAACTTAGAGAGCAACTAGCCATCAACGGGTAGATATGCTCCGCGTTCAGAGAGTCATTCTCGAGTCTCGAGGCTCCAGGCTCCAGGCTCCAGGCTCCAGGCTTGACAAGACGGCGACGTGCTGACTCTCATAAAGGCATAAACTGCATGCATCTAAAAATGCCCCCTGACGGTTACTTACATCGGATACCGTATTCGCCGATCTTCCTTGGAGTTCATAGCTGGACTGGACTTTACGAGGAGACCGATACGAACCCCGACGACACCAGGCTCAAAGCTAAAGGAACTACTAGTAGCTGTTTCCTTACTGTGACCTTTTGCCCTGCGAGAAATTTCGGATTAAAGGAAAGGCAGTGTAGTCTAGTGTGGTAAGCAGTTGCCGAACTGAAAGACTGGATGCAGATCCGTAGAAACCATAACGCAACAATAATAATCCACCCCGCTGCAGAATCAAAATCAAGGGGACCCCAACCCCCAGATGCTGTCTCACCCCTCCGCCCTCGGCATTTTGCCAAGCAAGATCCAATTCCGGACCGGATGTTGGGAGCTACCTATCTATGCTGCCCATGCATGGGAGCAAAGAAAGGCCTCTGTCTCAACTGACGAACGCGGACGGATGAAACAGCCTTCGTCGCTTTTACCGATGATCCCGTCTGGAATGTTTGAGCAAGCAGTCAGTAGAAAAGTCTTGACGTCGGTGATATATATCCCTGAGGGAGCAGCTCTGCCCATAGGCATCGACTTGGTATCTGATTTGGATGACTTGCTGAGAGAAGGTCCATGGGATTTATTTGATACACCAAAGTGCCCGCCCAAGGAACGTGAACGTGGACTCAAACCATCAAGATGTGCCAGCTCTCGCGGCGTCGGCGTCGCTAGGCCGCAGAGGAAGTTGGGCCTTGGAAGGCTTGGGCGTTAAAGCTTGAGCTCTGCGGACAGTAACTAGACATTGGCACATCTGCAACTTGCAGATCCATGACAGAACTGTAAAGACGTAGAAAATTCCATAGCTAGAAACATGCACAGAAACCCAACAACCTCGCTTGAGGGATGGATATTGTGAACCACCAAAACAGCACGTCTTCAGCCAAGAAGTCTCTCCAGAAATTACAACTCTTCGTCTATCTCACATGCGTTCCCAACTTGGGGGCCCACCCAGGTAAGAGAACCCACCAGCCTCCGAAGATCAAAAAGATCACGAAGAAGTCAATATGCCATTTCCCTGGCGAATACATCGTCCGTATCGTACCATTATCTCCTCTCACTGATGTATCAATCCCCCTCCGCACAACTTCCGGCCACAGGCCCAATCAGGGCAGACAAAGTGCCCCGGAAAGCCCATCCATCGGACCTCCTCCCATGATGTTTCTTGTACTCCAGTTGTCTCATTATGATGGTACAAGCCGCCCCTCTCATCTTCCTACCCTAGGAGTCCTGTTGCACCGTTTGCTGCAAAAAAAGTGTTAGCCTTGCTTCTCTCTGACAAAGGACTACGATGGGGGCATACCACAAGCCAGTCCATCCCCTCATCAACACCACTCCCATCCACCGCGCTACACGCCACGATACTCCAATTCCTGTCCCTCAACTCCCCCAGCTTCAACGCCTCACTGATCTGCCCTGCGCCCTTAGCACCCGGCTGATCCTGCTTATTCGCAAAGACCAAGAGCGCCGCATCCTTCAGCTCGTCTTCATTTAGCATTGCTGCAAGTTCCTCCGACGCGGTTCCCAGGCGGTCGATATCTGTCGAGTCGATCACGAATATCACGGCTGCAGTGTTGGCATAGTAGCACCTCCAGTACGGCCGTATAGATGTTTGTCCACCAAGATCCTCGTAAGCTTGTTAGGGGGTATTTCCAGAGGGGCGAGGTGCATGCTTACCCAGACATTGAAGTTTAGGTTTTTGTATGTGACGGACTCGACGTTAAAGCCTATTGTCGGTATTGTAGTGACTACTTCTCCAATCTGTCCATCTGGCGTCAGTGAATATTACGAGTAGGTTGGCAGAGGGGGGACATACCTTGAGTCTGTATAATAGGGTTGTCTTTCCTGCATTGTCCTTAAATCCGACATCAACGTTAGTGAAAGTCCCCAACCTCTGATACCTGAAAGATGATCGAGCCGTACCAGTCCCAAGATCAGTATCCGAATCTCCTTCTTCGACCACAGCAGCCCCGAAAGCCACGATACACTGGCGCCCATCTTGCACTGTGTCCTTTCACCAAAAGAGATCGCTTCCTCCTGTTCGATTTATTTCCCCTGAGCCAAGCTTGAGAGTTGGCTTTTCAAGCGGTGGATGTTCTTTGGGTCTTCGCGCTGGAGCTTTCCGTTGGGATATCAATAAGTATTGAACTTTAACAGATCGAGTCGCGAAGCTCCAGGGCCCAAGCCGTCTCGTTTGCCTTTTCCGTATCTGCAGCCTCACTACCGTCCGCTTCCGCATCAAGGTGAGTCCAGGCTTTCCGGAAACGGGCAAGGGTATCACGGCACGTGATAGCTCGCTAAGCCCACAACGCTTGCAGACAATTCAAGTTTCGCAACTGGGAGTACAATTTCTCAAGCTAAGAATCTCGACACAACGACAACGTCAAAATGCCGGTACGTTCGCTCTCCTGGTGGCCTTCTCGAATAAATGGGATACAGCCGAATCCTAGATACCGATAATTTCTGCCCGCGTATCGCAGCGGCGGAGAGACGAGGGGCGCGATTTGACATTTGCGCTGAGAGACGGATGCTGATGAGAATATAACGCAGAGCCACAAGTCCTTCCGCACAAAGGTGAAGCTCGCCAGAGCCCAGAAGCAAAACAGACCCATCCCGCAATGGATCCGTCTGAGAACTGGTAACACCATCCGGTACGCCCACCAAACTCCCCAAAACCCCTCCAGCGCAGTACATATTACATTCCCCGAGCATACAGATCAGCACGGAAGACCTTGAGGAAATGCTTGGGATCCCGCAGCTAATTAGAAAATAGATACAACGCAAAGAGAAGACATTGGAGAAAGACCCGTATCGGTATCTGAGCAATTCGCCAACCGTCCTGCACGCCCGTCCTCCCTTCGACCCCACAAACAAAAATACACCCATCAAAAACCTCATCCCGGAACGTACTTCTCTCCATCAACTTTCCTCGTCTGTACTACGAGAAATGTTCTCCGTGTGATGGATCAACTTTCTTCTTGATGGAATCTGGCGGTTTGACGGGCTATGGGTGGGGTGTTGTTTCGCGCTGGTTGAATTTGACTTTGGTTTCGATCGATTGATTTTCTCGTGGATGGAAAACATATCTCCGAGGGAGGGACACATGGATGGCGTCTTTTATGATCTTGCTATGGCATTGCGGCCAGCGCATTGAAATGGAGAAACAACAAAGTTCTGCGTCTCACTTCTCTTTCGCTCTGGATTTGGATGTCTGGTTTGTTCAGATGGTAAATCTCGAGGTCAAAAGTGACAACGCCTACTTTGCTACTCTAGGTTTACTTCCCACGAGGCACCTGCCAAAGCACTACATATCAACAGCAACCCATCACTGTACGGCTAGGTAAGAAAGGGTATTCATCATACAGTACCCGCCTCTCTCCTGCCACTGTACGCATGCTCCATCATCTCAATGATTCCTTTCCCTCCAGTGCCGCTTTTCCCATTCCACTCACTCCCTCCACTCCATTCCATGTGATCACCATTTCTCCCTCGAACCAGTCAGCTCGTACCTACCTACGGCGTAGGCACTTCGGACATAGCTCACACCCCCATGGGAATCAACCAGCAGCCGTCTCTCGCATTAGCAGCAGCAGTGCTCACCATCATTTACTTACCTAGCTCGCTAGAAGGTAGGTTAGGGCTCCAATCTACTCTACTCTACTCTCCTACACTCTATTACTCCCCATCTCATTCTCACCTCATCTCATATCCGCCCATATCCGCCTTGATAGATACATACATACATACATACATACATACATACAAAACTAACATCGACCGACTCTCTCTCTCTCCCTCCCTTCCCCCCTCTCCCCCCTCCAAGCCCATCACCACAAATCCCCTCCTCCTAAAAACCCCAAAGGAAAAGAAGAAAATCCCAACCCGCACCACCCCCTCACACCCCTTTAAAATAAAAATAAAAAAGAGCAATTTTCTTTCCTTTTCTTCCTTCCTTTCCTTCCTTCCTTCCTTCCTAACACCCCTTCCATATCGATCCCAAACCACGACATCACACGGTACCACAGCATACCACAGCATACCATACCATACCATACCATACCACCTCGACTTACCTACCTATTCACGTAGGGTCGGCTTTCCAGCGCTAGCTAGCTGGTAGCTGCTACCCAGGTCAACCGAGATTGGTTTCTACTTCTTCTTCTTCTTCTTCTTCTTCTTCTTCGCTTCTTCCTCTCTCTGTAGACAGAAGACTGGGTGGGTGGTGAGTAGCAGTACCCTTTAATACCATAGATGGGTTGCGTATCCCTCGTGTGTCTGGCTTGTCTTTTGGAAAGGCCGCCGTGTATGTATATCCTTCCCATGTCTTTTCCACTGTACGGAGACGCCCAAACACACTCACAAGCACCAACCCACCCTCCAAAAACTCCTCGTACAGCACAATAGTCTCGGGGTTCAATAGTACAGAAGACATCATTTGAATGGAGTAACAGACTGGCAGTGAAATGACGATGTCAATGGGAAAGATACAGCCCGAATGCAGTTACACGACATAACAAAGCAAGTGCCCACGAATTATGTTAAAGTCTTTATTTTCGCGCTCGAACTATCTACTTTCCAGAGCCCTCCCATGGAACTTTTGGACAGGATGTCGAGAAAAATTCATCCCGTAGCAGAAACCCTGAGTAATACCACCCGTAACGCCATGCAAGCCTTGGGCCGCATATTGCGGAAAACGCGAAGAGAAACCGGAAAAATAACCCATGCCCAGAGGGAGTGTGCCACACAAGTGCCACCACATCGAAAGCCAAGTAATAGCCAAAGAAGAGGCCGGAACACCAGGTATGCAAGGAGAAGACGCCGCAGTACATCTGAGTAGGTGAGGTGAACCTGACCGGATGGCCATGATCTGGTTGGGGTATCGTGTTGTGTCCTCCTCAGTACTCAGGAAGTGAGCTGCTCAGCGATCCTCAGCCCACTCGTTCTCGCGGCGGATTTGCTCCTCCTCTTCGGGTGTGAAGTCGTTGGTGATGTTGAACGTCTTGCGGATCTCCTCTGGCGACTTGCCCTTGATCATGTTGGCGACGGTCTTACATCCAACGTCAAGGAGGGGCTTAATGTCAAGGTAGTTGGAAGCCTGAGAAAGGGTGGTCAGCATGATAGCTCAGTGCGCGCGAATGTGTGATGTAGGGCACCCACCAAGATGATCTCGAACAGCATCTCCTGGTCGACCTGCATGAATTTTTGGTCCCACTCCTCGATATCGGTGGTCTTCTTGCGAGAATCGGAGTCGTCGTCGGAGGTAGCAGCGGCGTCGCCCTTGTGATGCTCACACCACTCAATGACCTTCTTAAGGACGGCTTCGTTGACCTGCGCGGGAAATAATGTTAGGGGAGGGGTGGTGTCTAAAGGTGAGGTCGGTCGGGATGGGAGAGAGGTACTTACGTTGGGGATGGGGACATCGGTATCGAGGGCAGCATCTCCGAGATCCTCGATCATGTTCTTGATGAGCATGGATTTCTCAGCGACCAGGCGATCTACGGCAGGAATCAGTACGATTAATTCCTCGAGGGAGGGCAGACCAGGAGAGGCATGCGCGGGCGGAGGGGGGGCGGGGGGGGAAGGTGTAGGAGGAGGGGTATCATACCGACGGCGATGTGGCAGCCGTCATTAGAGACGAGCGTGATTTTAGAAGTGTCAGACATCTTGAGAATGGGGATGTTTGAAGAGAATATTTGAAGAAGAAATCGAATAGTATGCGTTGGTGGGAGTGGAAGTTGTCAGGAGCAGTGAAGTTGGTGGATGTGGTTGTGGTGGTGGTGATGATGGGAAGAAGAGGAGTTCTTGGGGTGTTCTTGTAGTAGACGCCAATGGGAAGCTCTAGCCAACTAGCGCGTTTGTAGCCTTTGTAGCCTTGAAATGACTAATGAGGAAAATAAGCGAAAGACGGGCAGCTCCACTCACGAATCTAGTCTCCGTAGAAGCGCGTTTAAGTCGTTAGTGCTCAGCGATTTCATGTGCTGCGTGTATGCTACGTGTGTGCGTCATGAAAGGGGTGAAAGGCAAATAGCCACTTGTCAATTGACTGTTTCTTTGTCATTGTGAAAGCCTGACTATAGCCTATGGTTTATAGCCTCATCTGTCATTGCGAGATACTGGTAGTCATTACCACTCTTATCGTAGCTTAATTACAGCTTATCAAGTCCGTGTGAATGCACGCAAGCCAATATCAAAAAATCAAGAATGGCCTCTGTGTCTTGCCAAGGTATGTATGTATACCGGTATACTGCTGACTGGTAGAGTCATCGAGAGCTCTGAAGAATTAGAGCAGAGTGCCCCCCGTACTATATATAGCCAATAGCCAAGTTACGTATGAAACGGCTCTGTTGTCAGTTCGAGTGGCAGCCCGGGTGCCAAGCCAAAGCAAGGCTGAGCTTGGAACTGGTTCACGGCCTTGCCTTACTTATTAACCTCTGCCCAGCATCGACCGACAAACTCTTTACTCTCTCTATCATTCCCAATGCATATGCGAAGGCAAAGAAATGAATGCATCCTTGAGATATACGACAAAATTTCTATATACCATACTGTACCTGCCACTCGACTCGACTCGACTCGACTTGACTCGACCGAATTCCCCAAATGTCTTGCATGCAATCCAGACTTGGCTTCCGGAATCCGAATCAATCTACCCTGTCCGACCTCCATGCTTCCATACATTCCCGGCGAATGCGGCTGATCAAGCTTCTTCTCCTATCCTTGTCCTGTCGATAAAAATAAACGCGACAGTTCCAACATATCGGTCCGCTACACTTGGACCTAGACCAGGACCAGGACCAGGACCAGGACCTGGATCTGGACCTTGGCCTTTGTCTCACAACATTTCCTTCATACCACCTCTCAACCTCCCAACATCGCAAATGCAAACTACCACCATTAAATACCACGATCGCATCGGCGAATCCTCTCCTTCCATGCCCTGATCGCAGGTAATCCGGCCCATACCATAATGTGGAGGCGCGCATACCTATTTCTGGTTCTGGTCCGACTTTACTTTTCTCTGTCGCCGAGTTACCTCCACCCTGATGAGAACTTCCAAGGCCCGGAAGTGATAGCTGGTACGTGTTTTGAAATCTCCTGCAGCTTCTGGTGGTGGAAGCACGATGCCCAAGAAAACGCAACGCGCTGGTCGATCTGCGCGTCCCAGATCTGCCCCCGTTGGGCCACGGCGGGCTGTCATCAAACCGTGGCACATGTGCTAATCATTATCAATCTGCAGGCCAGATCTTCAGCTATCCGGTGAAGTTGACCTGGGAGTTTACCGCCGATGATCCCCTCCGAAGCGTATTCCCACTATGGCCTATCTACGGCCTGCCGATGCTGCTCCTGCGATGGCTGTGGATAGGGAACGGACACGACGGAGAAGTACCGCCCATCGCAGTGTTCTGGACCTTGAGGGTGTTGATGTTCACATTGAGCTTCGTGCTGGAGGATTGGGCTCTGCATGAATTAGTCCAGTCCCCAAGAAGTCGGAAGGTCGCGGTTCTGCTGGTCGCATCCTCATACGTGACTTGGACATACCAGACACACACCTTTTCGAACTCGATAGAGACTTTAGCGCTGGCCTGGTGCTTGGTTCTGATAGATAGGATTGTAGGAACAAAGGTAAGGCTTGTCCTGGGTGAATCGGGCACAAGTCTCACAGCTTCGCAGCACCGATCTTCTGCCTTTGCATCAGCTATCCTAGCATCTATCGCAGTCTTTGGCATATTCAACCGGATTACGTTTCCAGCGTTTCTCGTAATCCCAGGCCTTCGATTGATTCCTCATTTCATCAAGAGGGAGGTACCCCTCCTGCTTGTTGCTTCTGATACTAACAATTCCTGCAGACCTTTGGCTCTTTTCACCGCAATTTTCGCTGCCCTTCTTACCACCTTCATTGCGGTCTATATCGACACACAGTTCTACACTGAACATTCGGTTACCTGGTCATACCTCTTTTCTCACCCGGTCATCACACCTCTCAATAACTTCAAGTACAACCTACAAAAAAGTAATCTCGCAGAGCACGGACTCCATCCGTGGTATCAGCACGTTATCTTTAACCTCCCACAACTGCTTGGGCCAGCAGCTCCCTTAATTTTCTTTGGAATGCACCCATCGTTGCGGCTCTCCTCCGCTATTGCCGGTGTTGTCGTCCTCTCGATATTTCAGCACCAAGAAGCTCGTTTTCTCCTTCCTACGATACCCATGATTCTTTCCTCGATACAACTTCCTCGAAATCAGACCATACTTCGCCTCTGGGCTGGGAGCTGGATTCTCTTCAACGTATTTTTCGGCATACTAATGGGTGTGTACCACCAAGGCGGGATCGTGCCTACTCAGGTGTTTTTGGGTAAGCAGCCGGATGCAACCCATGCAATCTGGTGGAAAACATACAGTCCTCCCATTTGGCTTTTAAATGGGAAGAACGAGGTCCTGACGACGCACGACATGATGGGCATGAAAGGACCACTCATGCTTCGCGAGCTAGCGGCTTTGGCGACGTGTCACAAGACTTTCGATAACGCAACGGCTTATCTGGATGAGAAGGAAGGCACATATCTCATCGCCCCTCTGTCAGCGACTTTCCTGGACAACTACATCTCACGCAAGGAATCGTCACCCCTCCATTTCTTAGAAGTTTGGCGCTACAGAAAACATCTGAACTTGGACGATCTGGACTTCGGCGATGATGGGTTCGCGAATACCCTAAGCCGAGTGGTTGGGAGAAGAGGACTCGGTGCATGGAGAGTGACGAAGGATTGCTAGAAGATATAGGCGGCTGCGCTTTTTGACTCCATCACGGAAGATGTTTGCCGATATTGTACATTCCTGGATTACTACGCAGAGCGCGGGCAAGAAATACAAACAAAATCTCAAAAATTTCCGTCTCTGGAAGATAAATACCCGACCCCTGATTTTAAGCTCGTCCCAGTGGCAGCGGGATTTCCATATCGGTGTCTTCCAAGGGCGTTGGTTGAGAGTCGCTCGCTCACGTAAGTCAGGCCCCCTGGAGTTGATTGAGCTACAGCTAGGTAGGTATCGCAGCTAGCTTCTCATACCCCTCTCCCTCCATGCTTACTTCAACCCTTCCATCCTCTGCCTACATACAAAATCTACACCATTCATCCATCCATTCATTCGTCTGCATTTCAACGAACCTATTTTTCTCCGCCTTATACCAATCACATCATTTAAGCGAACTTCGAAGATATCCTAGCCTCGCGCAGTCGCCTGGTTCTTTGAGTCTTTGAGAAGCTCGACCCTCCCCTACTCCGTACACGAATATCGTCGTCTTCTTCTTCTTCCCGCGCGTCGATCATAAAGCCCGAGAGGAAATCCTTCATTCTAGGCGATGTCCGGGGGGGTGGGCTGAGAGAGGCGCCTGGGATACGGATACGGATTGGGGGGAGGGGGCGGGGGGGTGAGTGTTATCAGGAGCGGAGCGACTACTAGAGTGCGTCCTTCCTCTTTTCGTCTTCAGTCCCTGCTGTTTTGGTTTCGGTTTCACATTGGGCCCGGTGGGAGTTGGTGTTGTGTACTTTTGTGATTGATCTTTAGCTTTTTTACTTCTTCTTCCTCGGCGGTCCTCCGCTTTTTCTCTTATTATCTCTTCTCTTCTCTTTTTAGAGAATAGAGGAGAAGGAGATGGATTGGATTGGATTGGATTGGGTGGGGTGGGGTGTATAGAGTTGGTATAGGGAAGTGTGTATTGTACAACTACTTTTTTCATACTCGTTATATCTAACGCGCGCGCATGATAGATATCTCAGAAGCGGAGGAAGGGCCTATTTATATATATATATATATATATATTGGCTTCTCTTGCGAGGAAATAGCTAGCTATTATGATAAAACAAATGCGAAAAGAGAGATAAGAAAAAAAAAAACATAGCAAAACTCAGCCGCGCACTCTTTTAGCGCCCGGCTTGAAACTTAATTGAATAAATATGTTTATCGACGGAAGGTGAGGGAAGAGTGAGGAGGAGGAGGAGGCAGGCGAAGAGGACGAAATGGACATGGCACCGGCGGAGAGGGGTTTGATTCCAAGACAAGACAGCGAGGAATGGTATGAATGAATTGCAATACTCCGTCCAACGAACGCTCAAGGCAGCAACGTAATCAAGGGAGTAGAATAGGGTGAGAGTGGGGCATGGGATAGGAAATGATGAAAACGCAAATGCAGATGTAGGTAGTAGGTGGTAATTTATCATACCACGAAACTGGATAGCGGCTTGCGGAAGTTGCCGGGTGGAAATTTTGCACGACGGCTTGTAGCGTGTCGCAATCGCGGTTTTCGGAGGGAGCGGGGATGGCGCGGTGGGGAGTTGGAGTTGGAGTTGGAGTTGGAGCTGGAGCTGGAAGTGTGTGGTCGGTTGTCGTTCTAGGCTGATGAGGTGGTGAGGATTTTTCTTTTCTTTTCTCTTCCTTTTCCTTTTCCTTTTCCTTTCCTTTTTCCTTTTTATTTCTTTTGCCATGTCTCACTTCTCTTTCTTTTTCTCTCTCCCCTCCTGTCTCATTATTCTTCTTTTCTTCTTTTTTCTGCTTTTTCCTCCAATCTCTCCCCCTTGCAGGCGGCCCCATGGATAGATAGACAGATAACACAAGCAAATTGTGATTCGAGTATTAAATAAATAGATAGGTGAAACAAAGTGTTCGACCAAGGGACTCGTTTTCTTTCTCTTTCTCTTTCTCTTTCTCTTACTCTTTCTCTTCCTCTCACTTATCTATATGAAGGAGAGAAAGACAGAGAGGGAGAGAGATGACTGATCATTCGAATCTCAATTATGGAGAACTTTCAAACCTGAGATTACTCCCGAGACAAGGTTTCAGGATCTATGTCTCACTCCTCTTAGCAAGCAAGTACTCCATAAGCAAGTGCGAGCAAGTGCGATATATCAATTTTCATATTCTCATTGATACACATCCCGAACTCTATCTACCTAAAACATGACGCAATGCTTGCTTGCCCGTTTGCTGCACACGAAGTAGGTGGTACATACCAACACATCATCTCATCTCTCTTAGCCAACCAACCAATCAGGTGTACGAAGTATTATCATTTCTCTACTCTAAGTGCAAGAAAGGAAAAAGGAAAGAAAGGAAAAAGAGACAGCAACGCGTTTCAAAAATGAAAGTGTTCAGCCGACCATATTATCATCTCTCTAGAAGCAAGGCGACAAAAGGAAAAGAGACAACAACATGTTTTGAAATTGAAAATGTTCAAGTGCTGACATTGAAATCATCCACCTCTCTCACTGAGAGGCGCGAGGGATGGTGGAGACTGCACTCTAGTACGATCCGTACTTTCCGTAGGATCCGTAGTTTCCGTAGCTGAATAATGGTGCGTTAGGTATGCTTCTAAAGTAAAGTAGAGGGGGAGGGGCGGGGGGACACGTTGTCTCTAGTCTGGGAGATTTAGAAAAACTTACCCCTGTGCGGGAGTAGGAGTAGGAGAGGGCTTTGGCGTAGAAGAAGACTTTACAGAGCTGCTAGAAGCCACGGGGTAGTTCTGGTACTGTCCGTAGGCTGCCAATCCTATAAGTTAGCTTTCGCTTCGTTTCGTCGAGCTTGAGCTTGGAAGAAGTAGCTGTGTAGAGGAAAGCTGCGGGGGATAGATAGATAGATCTGGTACGCCAGCCGACGACACATCAAATATTATGATATTTGCGTAGGTAAGGAATGCGCTACTTGCCTCCGTATTGGCCGTAGTCGGCTCTCTTCTTGACGAACTCTGCTTCGGGAACGGCAGCAGCCCCAGCTTCACGCTTGTACGCACCATACGAGCCGTAGTTTCCATAAGAGATGGGAGTTGGGGTTGCGGAGGGGAGCTTCGATGTGGAGGAGGAGGTGGAAGTCGACGTGGTTGTGGAAGTCTGCTTTGTTGAAGAGGGAGCACCTGGATAGTTCTGGTAGTTGCCATACGCGCCATACGCGCCATACGCGCCATAAGCACCATAATTCCCCTTGGGTTGGAAGTTAGCAATCGTGTTGGGACACATGGTTTCATCAGATACGTGGAGATAGGCCTGGTACGTACATAATCAGCTGGTTTGGCAGAGACGGAGACCGCCGAAGCAGCAGCGAGGATAGCTAAGATTGAGAATCGCATTTTGAAAATCGGAGTCTGAAGATTAGGTAGCTGTTGAAATTAAGTGGTAATTAGAAGATGTTGAAAGACTGATCTGGTGGAGAGAGTGAGGAGTAGGATGATGCGCAGGAGAGGGACAGCTATATAGCAGATTTCTCTAGCACCTGCTGTTGACATCAAAATGGCGATGACGCTGATATGCAACAAGAGTTACAAGCTTCGGCCAATTGCAAGTTCTTCGTACCGCTCCAATTGGACAGAGGTTGCTTGAATGGAGCCGAGGAGGAGCTGTACGGTCAGAGTAGTGCAAGCCTCGTACCCGAGAAAGTCGACCAAACTTTTCCTGGGAAAGCTGAGCGAGAAAATCATGCTTAGAGGAGAGATTTGACATCCAATGGCAACAAACATGAGGTCAAAAGTACTGCCGAGTCATGCCCATTCGGGAAGCCACATTTCTTCTTGTGCAACCCAATGCACGCCTTCGTATCCGAACTTGCCATAAAGTGGAGCGCCTGGAAAATTGTACCAGATCATCATCCTCGTATATTTATTTTGGTGAGCTTTAAGACGGAAGTTGTACTCAGAGTCGACTCTGAACTAGCGAGGCTGATTCGCATCGGCGAGTGACACAGTAGCCTTGCATAAGACAACGCCATAGATGCCGGTGCTGCCAAGGGCACACCATACCATGCAGCCTCTGCAAATTACAAGATCTGCTGTGCATAGCCGAGGGAGACGGTAGTGCAGCATCGAGAGGCAAGGCACCCGATATCCTGGACATGGGGATTTCGGTAGTCCTCGGGTAACTGCCTTTCAGAATATCAGCTTCAAAACTCAATAGTGATTGAACGGGTTATACATTTTTCCCTTGGAGTCTGAATGGAACCGGTGAGATTTCGCCCATGGTTGCAATTTGACAAGTGAGGTTGCAGTAAACTTTGTGACCATTCTATTTTTAGGCGTGTCATTGAACTAACCGCAGAGCAGGCGCGCCAAGCCCTAGCTCAGTAGGTGGACTTAGTGATGTACCAAACTCGTATTTCTTCTTCCCATCATACCAGATTTCGATATGTCTCTGTCCATTTAGCCGAGTGATGATGCAGGGCTGCATATTACACCAAAATACTGCTCATGTTGTAGCTCCGGGCTGCTGAGGTCCGATGCAGACACGAGTTATTAGACGGTCACCTGCGTCGTCCGCAAGAGCTCTAGTGGGAGGCGGTATTTTCCGCAGGGTGATCTCAGAGGTGACGGCTCAGCTCCAAAACGAACGAATCTCTCGTCCCAAAAAAACCTGCGTTTTCTTTCCATCTGCCCAAGGCTCTTTGTTGCTGATCAGCTTTGAAGAAGTCCGTCCATTCCTCTGCTCATCCCATCCCATCCAACATGTACCAACCCCTCGAGGATAGAAGCGAGCGGGACTCTCAATCCACAGGAGATTGCGAGAAGCTACTTTCTGATAGCCCAGAAGTTCCATTTCAGAAATCGCTCAGACGAGTCCCGGTGTGGGCTGTTCTCGCAACCACCATACTTGCATCATCTGCTTTTTTTGTATTGGGAACCTGGTTTGGGAGTCGTACGACAGATAGGTCCTGTTTGCAGCATGTCCAGAAATACTGTATGTTTCTAGGAACTACTCTCTTCGCGCAATCACTGAACTCGAGTGCAGCTCCAATCATGGCGGAAGTGGACAATTCCTACCACAGCGTTCGCTTCAACGGGTCGTTCATGAAGGAAAACGCGTTTCGACTCGGTGCAGGACCAGAAGTAGATGCCGCCTGGGAATCTCTGGGGATCAACTGTAAGCATCTCCCTCCACTGATGAAGACGATCGGCTTCTGACTATTTATGAAAGATCGAGGGATAGCCGTACCGCTTAGCGAAGGCCCCAAATCCGGCCTCCGAGCCGACCAAGTGCAAATCAACCCCAAACACGGCGGCGGCTTCCCCGCTAACGTCGAAGGCCTGCACCACCTCCACTGCCTCAACCTCGTGCGCCAATCCCTCTACTACAACATCGACTACTACCGCGCCCAAGGCAAGGGCGCGTTCGTGAACGAAGAGAGCGTCGTCCGGTACCACGTCTCACACTGTCTCGATATCGTGCGCCAGCAGTTGATGTGCACGCCGGACACGGGGCTCCTGGGACAGGTCTGGTGGGACCCCGAGTACCCGAAGGCGTTCGTGGATTTCAACACGGAGCACAAGTGCAAGAACTTTGAGGCCATCCGGCAGTGGGCGGAGGAGAGACAGCTTCCGGAGACGGTGCCGGAAGACTTTTTGAGACCGCCGCAAGCTAGTGATACCATCTATGCGGCCATTCCTTGAACGAGCGGAAGGAAAGAAAGAATGATTGTGCGATTCCATTCAAGATACAAAGTTAAAAATAGAACGTTTTTTAAGACGAGCAAAGGCGAAACTACACGGTCGATAAAACATCACTTAGTGGAGCCAAGATGGCTCTTCGTGACGAGCAGAAACGAAAGATGAGACTCCTTCTTCATGAAGAGATTGACAAGAGAAGACAGAGCTTGGAAATGGGAAACAATGTATTTCTAAGAGCTCAACAGATCAGAAGCAATGAACATATGTAACCATTTTTGAAGCTCTCGCAGTAAACCTTTGAGCTCTCGATTCAATTCTGAAAGTCAGAATATTGTACTCATAATAAAAATGTTGTTTATGGAAGGAATACAAGCTCCTATTTCTAGCCAAGCGCCAAAGTAGTAGTTGAAAACATGCTTTCGATAAATTGCCCAAAGCAATACCTTCTAAACCAAAACGATTGGGATATTCCCTGTAAAAAAATGAGCAATATAGCAAGAAATATGATAGATAGAAAAGACGGAGTTTTCATAAAAGTCAGGCGTAACGCTTTCGAGAAAGGAGAGCAGTCCCTCCCCGTTATGCGCAGAACATCGTCTCGGCTCACACAGGTCAAACCCTGGGCGATAGCCGGGGCCTCTTTCCCGTCAGGTAATCCGGCTGCAGGTCCTTCAGCATGAGGAGTATGCTGTCGATCAGCGCCTGCTGAGCCATCTCCTCACTCTGGCCTCCGGGATCTGGCTCCGAGACGCCCGCCGCGCCGTCTGCATGCCTGTCGCAGCTGCTCCATTCGGGTCTTTCCATTTCCTGTACCGTCGTGGAGAAGTCTCGGGGATTATTTGAAACACGAGTACATGACGGTGAAAGCGAGCTTGACTTGAGAGGCTTGTGGGATATCCACGCTTGCCCCCGTGTTGTTGGTATTGGCCGCTGACGGTCTGGATATACTTGGCGTGGGTTCTCGTTGAGTCCGTCTAGCTGAGCCAGGCCCTCAGTGGTGTATGGTAATCTCTGAAGATGACTGTTGCTGGGTTTCTCTGGCTTGGGTCTATGACTGTCGCGAATATAATTGTTGATAGAGATGGCATAGAAATGCGGGTACCCGGGCAACGAGGTGATGGGTCTGTCCGACATGGTTGTACTCGACCGGCAATATGATGACGATAGTACTGTCCTGGAGAACGGTGTGCATGAATGAGCACTTCGTGGGTGCAGGATAAAGGGCTTTTTCAGAGGCAGAATGCCATTCTCTCCTGCATGTAAGAAATGTACAGGCATCGCCGGGTGGTTGAGACTGGTCCCGAATGGTGTGTTAAGATGCCGATAAGCCACCGAAAGGAGCCGATGTTGTAATATTACTGAATCCTGCTCGAAATTACAGAAATTGTTGTGAAAGGATCGTCAGGGCTCGGGGACATGCTGGGTTTCGAAAGGGCCTGTACCAATAGCAGAATTCATGGGGCATGACAGCCCTCGGACGCTCAAACGACGCAGTCTTCTTCTCCTGGACCGTTAAGATAATGGGTAGAAGGAAGAGATCATGGCACAGTTCAGTCAGATGTATGAAACAGAAACAGGCAATACACGTACAGCAGCTCGTGATATTGAAGAAAAAAAAATGGAAAAAAATGGAAAAAAAAAAGCAAAAAAAAAGGAAAAAAAGGAGAAAAAAAAACAGGAAAAGGATAAAAGGTTGGGCCGATGAACAAACAGTCAGAAAGTCGCCATGAGAATGATGTAGGAACGACCAGAAGATACAAGTTCGAGGTCCATTAAACATTGAACTTCAGATGTCAAGAAAGCAGACAAGCAGCATCATAATATGTGACAGGGGATCTTGGTGGACGTTGTCGCTTAAAACGGAAATTATGAAGGCATTCCCAAGGCCGCCCGGCTTCGGCCAGCATTCATCCGAATATCGGATCCGGAGATTTCCCTCCCCGTAGTCAATCGATACCAACGAATACATACAGAGGTAGAAAACAAGATGGGGCGACTGCAGAGGCTTCTCCGAGTTCCCCGAGCTTCATGAATTATGAATCATGACAAGGTTCGAGACTCGTATGCAATGCCGATTCGCATACCGAAAGGAAAGCCTCCTCTCGTCGAGAATCCACCGTTGGCTGGGAGTTGACGGTTCGAGTTCGAGGCCAAGTCCGCCAAATAATACTCTCTGTAAGGGAAAAGTCCGATCGCATGATGGAAAAGAGCATTCTGAAGCTCGGCATTCGCGGCCGAGCCATCGATTACCTACCAGATGCCAGCTCACATGACTCGGAGGTTTGGAATTTCCGTTGTCCGAAGGCTCGTCCGTCTCCATAGCCTCCGAGTCCGCAGCATCAGAGCCGCGTTCCGCCTTGGTCTACCAAGTGTCCCGAAGCTGTCAAGTAGGCTTTATGAACAGTGAACACTGTATTTCTCGAAGACTCTTATACTTTGTCGATTTCCAACTTTTCATCTGCCGGGCTTTCAAATTGGCGGATGCAACTTAATCAACTCCCGGCACTTGGAAGGTACTCTAAGTAACAAATGGCGTCGTATTATTCGTAAAATCACTTGCCAAGCCCCTCCTTTGCCTATCGCCATGCGAAAGACGGTGAGTCTCTTATACCCCGATTATCTATCGACAACGGTAGCCTGGCGATGATACTGCACTCACTTTTCTATAACACTTCTCCGTCTCCTTGCGTTTGCCTCTCGTATGAGAAATTGAGAGAATTTTGGCATGGCTCTCTATTTTGGCTCGGAATTCCTGAATTCCCCGCCGCCTATTGAAACCACGCGACCTTTTCAAGACGGCGTGGAAAACTATGCGACCCTTACGAAGCATCGGGATACATACTCTTTCATCGACCCTTGGCGCTTCTGCAATGCGCTCACGGGCAAGATTGTGCTGATAACTCAAGCCCATCGTGGTGTTGGACGATCTACCGCTCTTGCATTTGCACGTGAGTTACCCGGACCCGAGTACGAGGTGGTGGGCTTGTTTATATGTGTTTATATATATATGTGTGTGTGTGTGTGTGTATAAATATATATAAATATATACTTAAATAAGGTATATGTATATACACACACATATACATACTATACACACACACACACACATATATACAAACACATCTACATACCTCTTAAATACCCTCCCGCTCATTTGACTGACTTGCGCTTCAGGAGCTGGAGCATCCGTCTGCTGTGTCGGGCCGACGCCCGATTCACTAGAGCCTCTCCTTCGCGAGATCAAGCAGACGTTCAACACCCCGACACTCGCCCTGACAGCCGACCTCCTCGCCCCCGGCGCGCCCGCCCAAGTCGTCAAGCTCGTCGAGCTGCACCGCGGCCCGGTGGACATCCTCATCAACATCACGCCCGCCTCCTACGCGCGGAGTTTCGACACCGAACCCGACATCACGCAAGACTGGTGGCCGACGATGGAATCCGGGGTGCGCGTCCCCGTCGCCCTCACGCACGCCGTCCTCCCCTCCATGATCGCGCGCGGCAGCGGCATCATCATCAGCACGACGCTCATCGGCGGCGTCGTGCACATCCCCTTCATGTCCGCCCAGGGCACGGCCAAGGCCGCCCTGCTCAAGTTCCACCACCACCTGCACCTCGAGACGGCCAAGAAGGGCATCCTCTCCTTCGCCGTCCACCCGGGCCTGATCCCCAGCCACCTGCACGACCCGGGCATCTCCTTCCTCGAGCGGCCCGAGCACATCGGCCAGGACCCCGAGTTCCGCCAGGTCGTGGCCGACCTGGTCCGCGAGTGGGAGTGGTGCTCGGCCGGCCTGGCGAGCGGGACCTTCCTGACGCTGTGCGCCGAGCCCCGGGCCCGCATCTTGAGCGGCCTGTACGTCAATGCCGAGAGGGACATGGAGGAGCTGCTCACCAAGATCGAAGCCGACTGGGGGGACCAGGTCAAGCGCGAACGACTCTACCACTTGAAAGTTGACGAGTACTGAGTGTGGTTGGCGGGGCCACGAAAGGGGGACACGAACCAGGGAGAGCAGAAATCGGGAAGGTGGAAGGTAGAATATCCAGCAGAAGACGAAGGGATCAACATGTTATTCACTTGTTACTAGCACATTAGAATAGTCAGGACATATATTCCTCTCCCTCTCCTTCTCCCTGTCCCTCTCCCTACTTTTCTTTTTTCTTTTCCCTTGTCCTCTTGTCCTCTTTCCCCCTTTCCCCCTTTCCCTCTTCCAACCCCGTATCTAATCCGTCCATACCCATCCAACCACCTAACTCCCTAACTCCCTACCTCCCTAACCACCTAACCACCTAACTCCCTACCTCCCTAACTCCCTAATTCCCAATCCAATCCAACCAAACTCCAAACTCCAAACTCCAACATACAAAACCCCAAATCCAAACCCCAAACCCCAAACTCCCAAACCCCAAAAACCTCGCTTAACGAACTCGCTTAATCCATTCCAGCCTCGCCTCGCCTAACCTAACCTCGCCCAAAAACCAAAAACCAAACAAGCAGAAACCAAAAACCAAAAACCAAAAACCAAAAACCAAAACCAGACAAGCAGAACAAGCAGAACAAGCAGAAACAAGCCCATTTCACTCTTCTTCTTATTTCCTTTCACCGACCTTTTTCACCTCCGTCTCTCTACTCTCTCTACTTCACTCTACTCCTAAGGAACAGGTTGGTTAGAAAAAGAAAGAGAGAAAGAGAAAGAGAGAAAGAAAGAGAGAAAGAAAGAAAGAGAAAGAAAGAGAGAAAGAGAAAAAGAAAGAGAAAATTGTTGGGGGATCTTCAATTTTTTTTCAGTTCATTTGTTAATTAGACTGTGAGATGTGAGTACCTATGTTTCCGTCTAGATATTTTAATCATCCTCTCTCTTTCTCTCCACTTCTATCACATCTCTCACATCTCTCACATCTCTCATTTTTCCTTTTGGGGAAACAGCCGTGCCCCTTGCCCCTTGCCCCTTGGCCCTTGGCCCTTGCCCTGCCTTGCCTGCATGGGGTGGTATCTACTGTACATCCTGCCTACTTTACAGAGACCCCGCCGCCATATCTGTCATTATGTCCCTGTCGTCGGTCCATGTCCACATGCGTCTATTGCTGCCCTCGCCCAACATAAAAAAAAAGTGGTATTTGTATTGCGCTCCAAACCCCTGTCCCAATGCTTGCTTGCGTGCTCCGCCTAAACAGGTAAATTAAAATCGCTCAGAAAAATCGTTCGCTGTAGAATACACCCATCCTTTCCCCTTCCCCCCCGAGAGCCGTACGCCGACCACGGCTCAGTACACGCGGATGGCGGATACCAAGCCCGGCTTGGGCGCACGGCGCGGAGAGTACTCGAAGAAGGCGCGCGGCGGCTCCGGCTGCGGTATGGCGCGGGGCGTGGGCTGGCGGCGGCGGCGGCTGCTGCTCCGGTAGTAGGAGGTTGTGACGATCCTCTGCTTCTCGGAGAAGGTGGGCAGGGCGGCGCTGGGCGGCGAAGGAGGCATGGACTCGTCCTCCTCGGAAGAGGAGGCGGCGTCGTCCGAGTCGGGGTCGAGCTCCGGCGTCTGCTGCTGGGAGCGCGAGGGGGTGAGGCGTAGCTGCAAGCCCTCGAGGTCTTCCTCACCGTCGTCCTCGAACTCCTGTTCGACTTCCTCGACGGTGGCGCATGCGTCGTCGGAGGATGAGGGGGACGGGGAGCGGGAGGAGAAAGAGTGCACACGCTGCAGCGGGGTGAAGCGTTCTCCCGTCTCCACGTCCTCGTCGTCGGACCCGTATGTGCTGCTCTCCGAGTCGGACTCGGCCTCGGCGTCTTCAATGTGCCAGTCCTCCGCGGGGTCTTCGACGACGGCGTCGGCCCATTGGATGTGTGTCCGGCCTTTGGTCTTGGAGGAGGCCTTGGTGACGGATTGGTGGAACCACTGCTCCTGCTCGTCCTCGGCCGCTGCGAGCTCGAGCATCAGGGAGTCGAGGAGGTTGGCATGGCCGACCAGCAGGCGCAGGTTGTGATCGGAGCGGCCTGCCTCGGAGGACAGCTTCCCGCGGGCGGTGTGGGCCAGGTAGTAGGTCTGGGTGATGGACATGGCTTTCCGCTGTAAGGGGGAGGATGTCGAGATGTAGATTGAGGGTGGTGTCGAGGTCGAGGTTAAGGCTGGGCTTGGGGTTGGGGTTGAAGATAAGGAGGAGGAGGAGGAGGAGGAGGAGAAGAGCGGTGTTGTAGACATGGTCGGCATTTGGTCTTGAGATTGTGCAATTATGCTGGATGACTCAAGGCCGAAGACCGATGACCGATGACCGGATGGTAGGCCAAGTTTAGTGTTTTGGCAGGGTGGTGGTTGCAGATGCAGGTTATCTCGAGTAGGTAAGGGGGTTTGTTGGTGGTGATGCTTTGAAGCCGAGGAGATTGACTATCGCTGTTTGTTGATGGTGTTGGGCGATGGTGATGTCGATGTTATTATTGTTTGTTTTTGATGTTGCTATCGGTGGGTAGTCACAGCATGGCTGACTGTGTTGGAGGTGGGAGCATAGTCTGTTATGTATCCGGATGCAGTTGAATCTTTTGCCTGAACGATCGACCGACTGGACATGGGGGGGGGGGGGGAATGTGATATGGAACATGGATAGTGGATTTATTCCGTCTCCGTATCCGTGGATATGCCAGAGAGAGGTATGTGCGCAAGTGCAGAGTTCGGAGTATCTGCTACTTAGTCGGTGGGTGGGTTTAGTTGAGTGGAGCGGAATGGAGTTTAAGTTGAGTCCGGGTCCGGGAGTGGGAGTGGGATTGGGAGTGGGAGTGGGACTGGACTGGACTGGAGTGGGAGTGGGACTGGGACTGGGACTGGGACTGGAGTGGGACTAGGACTAGGACTAGGACTGGGACTGCGACTGCGACTGCGACTGGGAACAGGAACGAGAACGAGAACGGGAACGAATGCGAATGCGAATCAACCTGGGCTGGACTGGGCTGAGCTAGACTGGGCTCGGCTGGGCTGGCCTGGGCAGGGCTGGGCAGGGCTGATATTATCTCCGAGTCGCCGATGAGATGAGTCAGGTGACCGACGCAAGCTGAGATGAGATCAGATTACTCAGTCTTTATCCCAAACCAAAACCAAACCAAGCACAGGCGCAGGCCCCCGGCACGGGCCAGCCACATCAAACCAACCCAAACCAACCACAACCAACCACAACCAACCACAACCAACCACAACCAACCACAACCAACAACAAACAACAACAAACTAAACCAACAAACAAACCCGCCGAACCAAAACACTCATACCGTACCAAACCAACATTACAAATCACCATCATCATCATCACGCATCATCACGCATCATCATCCATCCCAAATCAAGCCTCCCCCGATCTACATTTATTGACTTGCTGACTACAGCTACAACCACGGGATGCTCCTATGGCCAAGCCACCATGGAACGAAGCTTACAGTAGATGAACCGTACGGTGTACGCACCCAGACGGGATTAACGCTTTACGAGCAAAACCTTCTGCTTCTACGTACTGTACGTAGTACCGGTTACCTACTACGTCCTTACTGTATACCCGGCCACAAAGCGCATACCGAGTGCATATTTAAAGATCAGTCAGTCAATAATTAGATATCCACTTTTGATCACCCCGCATTGCATTACCTACGCACATCTGCAGCACTGTAATTGGAACTTCTAGAAGAGGCCTGGGAACACCGTACCCATGGCGGGCAACAAGACTTGGATCTCATTTGCCCAGCCCGCAATCAACCAAGCATACGCACCGCACCGTCTCAGGGGGCTTTGTTCTTTTCTTAGGAGTGATGTGGTCTCTCCTTTCTTTGATAACCGACGGCAGCATTGTACTCATCTGCTCGGTCCGTACTTTTGAAAGGGGTATCCTGCTCCGTACCGTGCCTATGCTGTATAACACGGTACGTTACGGGCGAAAAAGCTGCCGTGCAGAGAGAGTCATCCGCTCCGCAGCAGACCAAACCCGCCACGGCTCCAAGCAGTCGTAAGGTACCGGTAAGCCAGCAGCAAGTCTTTGATCAGCAGGATTTCCCCCAACATGGGACCACCCGATGGGAGAACAACCCCCTACCAACGACCAGCTCCGCTCTTCTGCACCTCTCTTCTCCTCTCCTCGCTTTTGCACTTCCTCTCCTTTTCCGATCGCGCATTCGCTCGCGGTACGAGGCCTTGGTATCGCTAGTGCTTGGTATACATACAGCGTACCTCTTACTTCGCCCGCGATTCCAAATCTATCTCATCCTGCGTGCTGGGGCAGCCAGGCACGCGACTCTTATCCTCTTCCCCGATCATCGATCTGTCGCTGAGGTTCCAACCGAAGCCTGGGGATCATACCACTCCCATACTCATAGCATTCCTATGCGCACCCACGAGCCCGTGAAAGCCAGTCATCTAATCCAGCCTGGGGGAACGAAGCGACAAAACCTCTAATCCTCTATCTCCTCGTTGATCCATTTACGTATGCTAGTAACTTATCATCGCTACCACCAAAAGCCAGCACTGGCTGGGACCACCTTGCTCTCCTCCCCCGTTCCCGTTCATGACGTTTGCATCTGCATGGGTATACCGATGATTAGGGATTCATGGGATGATCACTCTATAGCAGTAGGAAGTCTAACTCTACTGTTGTTGTAGGTATTCACCGGCTACGCTCAGCTGACGAGTCAAAGAGCATAAGGAGACGCCGGCTGCGTACCGCCGTTGATCTCACTCTGATCCGATGCGAACCAGGTTTTCCTTCTTCCTGTGCACGGTAGATCCAGTAGCAGTAGCAATAGCCATAGCAATAGCAATAGCAATAGCAATAGCGGCGGCACTACCTACACTAGTTAGTACCCTTTCCCGGGAACAGGATAAGGGACGGAGGGATTCGCCGGGACCAGAACATGCTGCTTTCCGCACAGTAAGGCACACGCGTCGTAAATGGAAGTACCTACAGTACAGCTACCGTACATCTACAGCTAGTAAGTAAGTAGTAGTAAGTAGTAGTAAGTAGTAATAAGTAGTAGTAAGTAGTAGTAAGTAGTAGTAAGTAGTAACAAGTAGTAACAAAGTACGGATAAAGTATAAAAAGCATAAAGTATGAAATTCATTACAGCAGCCCTCCCCGCCCATTCCTTCACGTACCTACCTACCGGTAGGGCAAGGAGAAGATGGCATGCTCTCTCTCTCTCTCTCACGGGAAAGGCCAAAGAGAAAAAAAAGAGAGAGAAAAAAAAGAGAGAAAAAAAAAACAAAAAAGAAAAGAAAAGCACGTCGGGCCATGAGCCGCTTCTGGTGCTGCGGTGCGGGAGATCGCAAGCTAGATCGCAAGCTAGCTAGCTAGCGGCGGCAGTCAAAGCTATAGTTAGTACGACGTGGTACGTGGTTAAGAAGGTGCTGGGAAATGGAATAATAGCGGTAGCTAATAAGGTAGGTAGGTAAGGTAGGTAGGTAAGGTAAGGTAGGTAGGTACCAGTGGGACTTGCCGTCGCGGTCTTTGCTGGTGGGGTTCGGGCTGGGCGCCTTTCCCTAGGTAAGGTAAGGTAAGGTACGGGGAGTAGAGTAGAGTACTGTACTGTACTGTACTGTACTGTAAGTAGAGAAGGGAAGAGAAGAGAAGAGAAGAGAAGAGAAAGGTAAGTAGGGTAGTAAGGTAGTGAGGTAGTGAGGTAGTAAGTAAGTACGTAGTAAGTACCCAAAATAGCTACCTAGCAGCTAACATAGGTAAGGTAGGTATAAAGCATAAAATAAATACAAACGTGGTAAAAAAGAAGGTATGACGTATAGAAGCCCCCCCCCGTCCCCCCTCCATCGAATGTTCTTCTGTCTGGGTACATACAGTACGTAGTACGGTACCAGCAAAGGATTCTTCGGACCGGGAAAGGATCGCGCCGCTCCATCCCAGGGGGGAAGAGGGGCGGCGGGCGCGGAGCCGCTTTGGGTAGGGTGGGGTACCGGTACCGGTAGATGGCTGCTAGCGGCGGCAGTGGGAGAGCAATATTGGATTGTATTCGCTGGGAGGGGAATAGCTCCGTGGATAGCGATACGTAGTAGTAGTACTAGGTAGGGAAGGACTCATCGTCAGTGCGCCGGCTGCCTTGGGACGGAACCCGACCCGACCCGGCGACCCGGCGGGGGCTCTCGGTTACGCTAGGTACAGTCAGTCAGTCAGTCAGTAGTTTGTGGCCGTCCCACTTCCAGCTAGGTATCAAGCTCCTCCTAAGGTAAGTACTACGCATCAACCATACAAGTAGTAGGTAAGGTAGGTGTTCCCCGTCCTTTCTCATCCTTTCATACTTCTAGTAGTATACGAAAGAGCAATATCTGTATGTAGAAGTCCGTAGTATACACGACCAGAGCGCCGATCCGTGCGTCTCGCTTCTATTGTTACTTATACCGGTAGCTCCATCTTTTCTCGATCTGTCCGCGCTACCAACGGCGGCGACGATGACGTTTTCGGCCTTGGGATTTTGTACGTCCTGTCCGGAAACGTATAGGTATTCTCACTGTAATTAATCATCGTCCTCGTCACTAATTTCACCTAAAAAAAAGAAAGACAATCCTCGGAAAGCTCTCAGCGACGCTGACTCTCGCATGCCTTTTCCAACACAACACCAGCTCTCTCTCTCATCCCACGCACAACCACGGTCGAAAAGGTAAGCATTCCGCGTTCCTAACATCTCATCTCCGCCCAAACAATCCAATCCAATCCAATCCAATCCAATCCGCGCCTCTCTCCGCCCCCCTCCCGCCCCCTCTCCCCTTCTTCCCTTCCAACCACGATTTGAGCGGTCCTCTAACCCTCCTTCATAAAAGCCCGTTATCAAACCATTCAAAACCAGTATGAGTTACCAATCCAGAATCATCCACCTTTTTTAATCGTCCCTTCCCCGAGCCTGGGACCGTCCCATAGCCGTCCCACAGCCGTCCCCGTCCCAGTTTTTTTTAAAAATAGGCTTATCAACAAGCCCGTTTTTCAAAATTGAAAAAATCGTTCGATGGATTATTTGCAAATGATATGCAATTATAAATAAAAATATTGTCTTTTCTTTCACGTAAAATCGATCTATTAATAATTTATGAGAATATATATGCCATGATGTTTCTCGGTGTCGCTGCCGCGGCTTATAGGTATATCAACGCTGTAAATTTTTTATCATCGAAATCGATCGATGTAGTAAAAGTTCCGTCGCGCCAGAGATGCGCTCCCTCTGCCTGCCGGGAGGGGGGGTGTGGTATGGGAGTGGCAGGTATACCTGGGAAGAGGTAGGTAGACTGCTAAGCGATTGAAAAAAAAAAAAAAAAGCTTATTAATCAACGTTCCTTAAGACGGTTTCAAGTTCGGGGATTATTATTGTTGTTGTTATTGTATTTATTAACGTCGGGCGGGTATCCAAAACGCAATGCTTGGACCTTAAGGACCTCTTATAAGGTACGGCGACGTGCTACGTAAAAGAATTATATATAAAATATTATTTAATTACGAGTAAAAAACCACGTTGAAGAAAACCTTTTATCAAATAGCTGAACACTTGTAAACCTCTTAAAAGCAATTTATAATGCTATGCGTCGAGTTTTCTCTTGATAACTATTGCATACGTATAGCTTTACGAGCGGCTTCGATCCGTATAATACAAACATCGTTTTCTTTCGTCGTAAAGCTAAGAAAGCTCGCGTTCGTAGCCCTTAAATAAAGCCGATATATTTGCAAAACGCTCTTTCGAAAGCGCAATACCGTGTTTTCGATCAATCGAACTAAGCCTTTCCTATCCCATCTCTTATACCCGTTCCCTCTTTATCGCAAATCCTCTTAGTCTTTTCCATCGGTATGCTCGTCAAGTATAGATCGTAATCGGCGTAGTATTCGAAAAGAAAGAAAAAAAGGAGGTTCGGAAATCGCCGGTAAGAGAAAATCTCTTCGAAGAGACGTCGCATGTCGATGATGCAATTTCGGCTCTCTAGACTCTCGATCTCTCTTTCTACCGCAGGAGAAAGAAAGAAAGAAGAAGAGCTGACGGTGCGGAAAGGGCAGGCACCTCGTACAGGTAAAGAATCGTAGCCCCCCGAGCGCGGGCGCGAGCGCGAGCGCGAGGACGATCAAAAAGGTGGATTATTCTTGATTTGTAACTAGGACTGATTTCAAACGCTTGAATAACCGTCTCTGATAGAAGAGGGTCGGAGGACCGCTCGAGTGACCCCCTCCCTACCTGCCTTTGAGGTAGGTACTTACCTTAGGTATTGTAGATACGAGGCAGCGAGGCGCGCACTGACGGGACCGACTAAAAGGAGGGTTGCAACGCTATGAATAGGTGGTGAGTGAAGCTGGGCGTACCGTACTTGGTGAAATCGACTATCGACTTGACTCGACGCGCTGCTTGCCTGCCTGCCTGCCTGCCTATTTATTTATTCTCTCAGCCGCCCGAGGGTTTTTATAGCCGGCGTGGAGACTTCAAGTAGGTGCGGCTTAAATATATATATACATATGCATATATATATATATATGTGTGTGTGTGTGTGTGTATGTGTATATATGTATATGTATATATCTCTCTCTCTCTCCTCCAATCCTGCCTACACTTCTGCACTTTACCTACCACCTACTCCTCTCGTCCATTTCAATTCCTCTCAATTCCTCTCACTTCCTCACCTCCCCCCCCCTCCTCTCTTCCCTC